AGAGTTCTCCAGTAAATACCTTGGTTAATCCTCCATGCTTTTCCTGATGATGCCTTTGGATTTTGCTGTCAAGGACGACATTTTCGTCTGACAAAAATACTTCAAGATGATCTTGAAAATTATCAAGTCATAGAAGCAAAAGATGTTAATGGGGATTTTCAAACTTTTTATTTTCTTAAATAATGGTCCCTTTTTATCCAGTAAATCATACTTGGACAGAAAAATTACAAAATAGAGGATGGGATGCTGTTTGGGTGGATATGGACTGACCACAGCCGGTGGAGAGGATCCTGGAATTGAGCCTCATTTAGTTCCAGAGGAACTCTCATCCTAGACGTGAACTTCATCTGACAGTTAATGCCAGGAACAGACTTGAACCTGGGCCTGTGGTCTTGGCTCTCAGACTGTGTTTTTTTTCACCATACTACCTTGACCTAAAACCAAACTCTTGTTTGATTTCTTATCTCATTGATAATAAGGCAACACTCACAGGTATTCTCTGGTGGGTGGGTGGCAGAATATTTTTCATCCAGGAAGTTCAGGCTCAAACATGTTTCAGTTGCTAAAATTGTTTCTTCATTCTGCTGCACCCATTCTACAGGTGAGCAAACCAAGGTTCAGAAAGGTCAATCATATACCTTTCGTGCATTTTTCAGCTCAGACCTCAATCAGCAAGTCTCTTCCCATTCAAGACAATGAGAATCCTCTTCCTCTCACCCAGTTTGAGGGCTCCTGCCACCAACCTGGGCATTCTGGTGAAAAAGAGTAAGAGAAACAGGGGATTTCCCATTTATGGGAACCAGCAGACACACTGTGTGTGCTTATTGGAGCACAGGAGAGGAGAGTCACCTTCCAGGAAAATTGACGAAAAATAATAACATTCTTAAAGATTTCTCTTTGAGCAGGTGAGGTTAGATATGAGGACCTGGGGTAAGAAGCCAACTTGGGAAACAGATAATCTCCAAAATCTGGAGGAAGAAGGAAGGAGCCATCCTGGGTCCACACTGAGAGTTGTCACCATGATAACCAAGATCCAACTCACATCTTCTTCCAGTTCATTTAACACACAGGTACACGGTCAGTAGTTCTGATTCGGGAGTGAGGCTCTTCACAAATCCACCCTAGGCATCGCTGTGTCTCCCATCAGGACCAGCTGGTACTCACCGGCACTGCTCACCTGCCAGCATCTGCTCTGATTGGCGGATGGATGCCCGAGCTGTCCTTGGGAGTTCTGAATATCACTCCTGATATAAACACCAGGATCAGTCAAGGTCCTGGTGCCAACAGGAGAGGCGTGTGAGGTAGGCAGGACCACTGATGGAATCTGTTCTCAGGAAAGGGCGTTTTGACATGGGTGTGCTGGGAAGCGATGGAACTTTCCAACTGGCTTCCGCAGCCACACACTTTTTAGCACACTGCGCTGCTGCATTCCAGGTGATGAAGAGCATTTTTCAATTTGATGGGTTTCATCTGCATTTTATTAGTCTATTTCTGGAAAAACTACCATTTGTACATCATTTTCCTTGCAGTTTTGTCTTTATTATTCCCCTCCCCACCTCGGGTGGTGGGTCCAGGATTTGATTTTCTCTTAGCTCTTGGCACATTTCTCATCCTCAGAGCAATTTACCCTCTGTGACAGTCCATCTGTCTCTCCCGTCCCCATTTATGAATACTCTGCCTTTTCCAATTTCCCTTCTTTCCTTTGTCACGTCAGCCCTCGTCTCCCCTGACCTTTTCTAGCTCTTTGGATGGGCTGTTACTCCTTAAGGAGGCTGTTGGATCATTGGGGGACCCTGCAGATATCTCTGACTGGCTCTGTTGTCCCTCTCTCTTAACAGTCTCATTGACCTTTAGTTGTGTGGTAGTGGCTTGTGGTTTTATCTTATCCGGGGGGGAAAAAGAAAACTACAAGCATTAAATGTGTTCTTTCCTCCTTACTCTATGCCTGCTGGAGTTGCTGGGAGAGACCATATGGTTTGATGGCTTTTGATGGCCACCTCTGAAGTTTGCGGGGATTCTTTGATGGGTTACTGGTCACTGCTGTTGAGCGTCACCAACGTGGGAAGTGCACCAGGGGTCGGCACACTTTTTCTGTAGAGGGCTAGATCACCAACATTCTCAGTTTCTTGGAGCATGAGGTTTCTGCTGCAATGATTCATCTGCTCTTGTAGTGAAAAAGCAGCCAGAGACCAATGTAGAGGGAGGGACATGAATGGGTTCCAATAAAACTTTATTGATAAAACACAGGCAGTGGGTCAGATTTGGCCTGGGAACCTTAGTTTGTTGACCTCTGTTTTAGAGTAATTTTATTTTCTACCTCCTTAGTTTTCTTGTATATTTGTGTATCTGTTGTTTATTTTAAAAGTGCCTCTTCAGAAATAAGGTTGTATTTTATCTTAGTATTCTTTTTTCCCCTTTTTCTTTGTGTTTATTTAGCTTTTTAAATTTTACATGACAGTGGAGTATATTTTGAAATATTATATGTATATAGAATAAGTAAAACTTGTTCCAATTAGGATCCCATTATTGTGGTTGTACATGATGCGGAGTTTCACTGGTCATATATTCATATATGAGGATAGGAAAGATATCCAGTTCATTCTACCATCTTTCCTATTCCATTCCCCCCTCCCTTCCTTTCATTCACCTTTGTCTAGTCCAATGAACTTATAATCTTCCCCTCCCTTGTCGGTTAGCACTCACATATCAGAGAGAACATTCTTTTTTTTTTTTTTTTGGGGGGGGGTAGGGTGGGGATTGGCTTATTTCACTTAGCATGATAGTCTCCAGTTTCATCAATTTACCAGCAAATGCCATAATTTCTTTCTTCTTTATGGCTGAGTAATATTCCATTGGATATATATGTCATATTTTCTTTATCCATTCATCTGTTAAAGGGCACCTAGGTTGGTTCCATAGTTTAGCTATTGTGAATTGAGCTACTGTAAACATTGATGTGGCCACATCATCATAGTACACTGATTTTAGGTTCTTTGGATATATACTGAGGAGTGGGATAACCGGGTCAAATGGTAGATTCATTCCAAGTTTTTTTGAGGAAATCTCCATACTGCTTTCCAGGGTGGTTGCATCAATTTGCAGTCCTACCAGCAATGTATTAGTGAATCTTTCCCCCCACATCCTCACCAACATTTATTGTTGCTTATATTCTTGCTGATTGCCATTCTGACTGGAGTGCTTTTTTTTTAAAGAATCATTCTTTTTAGGTATACGTGTCAGTAGAGTGTATTTTGACATATATGCATGGAGTATAACTTATTCCAATTAGGATCCCATTTTTGTGGTTGTACATGATGTGAAGTTTCATGGTTGTATATTTTATATATGAACATAGGAAAGTTATGTCCCATTCATTCTTTCCTATTCCCATCCTCCTCCCTTCCCTTCATTCCCCTTTGTCTATCCAATGAACTTCTATTCCTCCCAACCCCCTTACTGTGTATTACCACCAAAAAAAATCATCCATCTAGGAATTCTTGATGGGGTCACCTTGGGAGGGAGAGAGTGACAGGGAAAAGGGAGGTTGGTGCAAGGTATTATCATATGCTATTTATGGCACGGCCACAGTGCCTTTCATTTAGGATGGTTGGAGGAAGTGGGCTGTGTTATAGGATGGTGATAACCTGAGCTGGGAGATGAAAAATTTGGCTCTAATCCTGGATATTTTGCTCAGGATCTGAGTAAACTTGGGTGAGTTGCTTTATGTTTTTCAATTTCACTGTTCTTATCTGAAAAATGGGGTTATTATTTTATTATTACTTTATTATTAACTTTAATATTTTGTACTATTTGATTTCACATCTCTGAACATCAGTTTCCAGCTAGTATGAGTTTGCATCTCAGGGCATTGTTTTCTTTTAATATCATAAGGATAATGTAGCATATGAATTATAATGAAATCTATGTGTAACAGGAAATTCAAATGTTAGTAGCTTATGATTTAGGTGTTTATTTTATTTTTTTTCCCAGTCAGTTGTTCAGGGATTATATGGTAGCTTCGTGATGTCAACAGGGACTCAGAATCCTGCTACCTTTCTGTTCTCTTAGTCTTTGTATATGGATTTTGTCATCTAAGTCCCTTCAAAATCTCAAGGTGGCCACTGCAGCTCCAGCCATCACATTTACATTTCAAGGAATGTATATATGTCAAAATCATTATATATGTATATATAATATGTATGTGTAATATATGTCATAGATATATAATATGTATATAATATATACATGCATATATAATATATGAATCTCCATGTATGTATAATGTGTCAAAATATACTCTACTGTCATGAATACCTAAAAAGAACATTTTTTTTAAAAGTACCCCAGTCAGAATGGCAATTATTACATTTCCAATTTAAGAATCAGAGGAAGCTGCAAAGGTAAAGGCCTTTTAAATAACTTGTCTGGAAATTCAGTCCAGACAATTGTGCCATTAGACAATCCCATCTTCCAGTATATGCCGTGTTTTAGATTGTTACATTACTGCTCTCTGTAACGTACGGGACAAAGAGATAGAACAGATACAAGGATTGAAAATAGCAGTTGCTGCCACAAACGGCTTTTTAGAAAGGTAAGAAATGGATAGGGGTCTCCCACCACACCCACAGTACAGAATTTCTGTATCACTCTGGACACATTTTTCCAACAAGGAAACAAATGAACTTATACAATGGACAGTGTAACCAGATTGTATTTCAGTAAGAAAGCATTCTGTAAGCCATCCTGTTTGCCTTAGTTGGTCTTACTATAGGTACCAGTGTTGTATTAGGTGCCATATTAAAAAGCAAAACAACATAAAGAGCTTGAGATGCAGAGGAAGGACTTGTGAAACCTCACTCTGGACCAGAATCACTTACCATACACATTTTCTAGAAGTGAACTAGATGGAAATCCAGAGGCTGATGAGGTGTCTGGCCTCCCCAGCTGGGGCTGGTGGTGATTCTCAGAATCACCACCAAGAATCCTTCTTCCTTCAGGTTCTGGGAATCACCTGCTTCCTAAGTTGGCTTCTTACTATGAGCCCTACTGACCAGAAGAAGCCTCTAAGAATTCAATCCTTCCATGGAAGACAACCCTTTTTTCCTCCTGTGCTCCAGTAAGTACATAGTGCCGTCTCCTCATTCCCATGGATGGAAAATGCTCCTGTTTCTCTTGACTCTTTTTCCACCAAAATGCTCAGGTTGGTGGTGACAGTCCCCACACTGCAGAGGGAAGAGAATTTTCATTGCCTGGAATGGGAAGGGATACTTACCGGTTGAGGTCTGAGCTAAAAGTGGATTCTCCCTTCACGAAATCCCATTGGACAACCCACTCACCACCTAGCTCAGCATTGGCAGCCCTTGTGTTATTGTCTAATTATGCTTTTATTATGTGGATACCACAGTTACCATGCGGTAGCTGGATAGGACAGCTCCATGAATAATCTTATGTGTATGTGTGTGTAGCATAAATATTATGTATACATACATAAAGTATATTATATATATATATATATATATATATATATATATATATATATATACATATATACACACACACACACATATATATATATACACGAATACAATGACTAATCCTGTACATTCCTGCTCATTTTTTTTCTTTTTAAGTTGGAGATGCAGCAGAGCAGAATTTGGGGCTGGGAAGTAAGGTGGAGAGAGAAAATTAGAGTTAGGTGAAAATTAGGTTGGTATTGGAGAGGCAGATATGGCTAGGAGTGGAAAGAAAAGTTTTAAAAATAGTCATTCTGGAGAACATATTTGGATCCCATTCACATTTTTAGAAAAGTGCAGGTAAGTGACTTGTGATGGTTGGATTTTCCTTTTGTTTTTGGCCAGGATACTCCCAAAGAATAAATGATAAAGGAGCCATAAAGTGAAGATTGAATTTTAATAAGAAGCAAACTTTTTTCCTATTAAACAAGCTGTACATATCCATCTTATAAAAATTGCTGGAATGTGGTTAATCTGTTGTTCACATAATACCACAGACTGGGTGCGTTTTAACATAAAGAGAGTTATTTTGGCTCATGGTTCTGGAGGTTCAAGGTGTAGAGGCTACTTCTGGTTTTGGTCTTATTGCTGTCAGAGTCTGGAGATGGTGCAGGGCATCATATGGTGAGAGGCCCTGTCTCTAAACACATAGTTGGATTAAGTTTCCACCCTTTCAAAACCTCACAATGGGAATTAAATATAAGCATGGGTTTTGGAGGGGACAAACCATATTCAAGCCACAGTACTTGGGGGGCCCATTTGTGAGGTCTTTATGAAGTTGCTGTGTACAGATGGTAGCCTCCTTGTTTGGGTGGATGGACAAAGAGACTTGGAGCAGATCTTTCCTCAGGGAAGAGTTAATCCACTGGTTTTGAACGTTCTACAAATGGAAGACTCAGTGGCTGTTTTTCATCATGGAGAAAGGATGTGAGAGGGCCTTTGGTCACCTGGCAGAGATTGCTCTCTGGAAATCCTTTGATATACTAGCTGGTGCTTTGAAAAGATGGGTCCATTTGTATTGGGGTTAAGAAACCATTGGGGGAGGAAGGATCAACCCCTTTAGAGGTTCAAAGTTAGCAAACACTCCCAGATGGATTGCAGTGGGTCCCAGGCAGATGTGCTGATTGGAAAGAGGAGTAAGGGTTCCAAAAGGTACTCATTATGAGAGACAGGAGTCTGGCTCATGCCTGAACCTGGAGAAAAGGATCTGCCTGTGAATGTAAACTAAAGATCCACAAGACCCACACCAGGAGCACTATGGAGGATCGTCAAAAGGTGAACATCATGAACACCCAAAGATGGCCTTGGCTTGGCCAAGGATCTGGGAGAGCAAGAGGAATAATCAACAAAGAGGCAGCCGGCCAGATTTTTAGCAGCAACAGGGTCCAGTGGACCTAGGAGTTCCTCTACTTTTCTTTTTACCTAACAGTTGAAAATAGAACCGAGCAAGGTTGGTGATTCTTGGGCCATTCAAGAAGAGGGTGAGGCTCAAGCATGATAAAGTGAGCATCTTGCTTATATGAGAATGTTCGAGTGATTCCCTAATGGGTAAATAAGTACAAATATGGCTCATTGTACTGGCAGGGTGGTTCATGCTCAGTTACATTAGAAAATGTAGATAAGTTCAAAGAGAGGAAAAAATAAGTTCTAGTGTACGATAGCACCGCAGAGTGACTATAATTAACTATAATTTATTGTATATTTCAAAATAGCTAGAAAAAGAGAGTTTGAATGTTCCCAACACACAAAACAATGATAAGTGTTTGAGATGATGGATATGCTAATTATCCTGATTTGATCAATATACTTTGTATAATGTATTGAAATATCACACCGTACCTCAGAAATATGTGCAATTATTGTGTGTTGTCAACTAAAAATAGAAAAAGAAGACAGTTCACAACACCCATGATAATTATCCTAATATGTAATTGTATATTTTCTTCTAGATTTTTCTGTTTATATAATTATAGACATACATGATGGGAACACATTGTTTTAAAAATGGCTGTTTTTCTCTTTATAGTATACTATTATATACACTTTTCTTGTTAATATATAGTCATCTCAGTATCATTCAGAATAGCTGAAATATTCTAGTTTTGTGAGCACTGTATTTTGTGTATTGTATTTTTGTGGTTTGGATATGAAGGGTCCCCTCAAATCTCCTGCATTAATACAGGAATGTTCAGAGGTGATCTGATTCCATTATGAGAGCTGTAACCTGATCAGTGGATTAATCCATTTGATGTGATTGCTATAAGAAGGTAGGGGATGGCTGGAGGAGGTGGGTCACTGGGGGCATGCCCTGGGGGATGTATTATATCTTGTCCCCTGGCTCCTCCTCTCTCTTCTTCCTGGCTGCCATGAACTCAGCAGCTTTCTTCTGCTATGCCCTTCCACCATGATATTCTGCTTTGCTTTGGTCCCAGAGCCATCGAGTGGGCCAATCATGGACTGAACCTCTGAAATCATGAGCCAATAAACCTTTCCTTCTCTAAGTTGTTCTTGTTAGGTATTTTTGTCATAGCAATGAAAAACTGACAAACACAAATGTGTAGTCATGTATTTTGCTCCATAAAGATGATGTCATTATCTGCTTTTCTGTGCACCTGACTTCAGTTGGAGGCAGTGTTGAGCAGTGGCTCAGAGTGGTGGGATTTGGATTCAGGCAGGCTGTGGTATTATTTCGGGGTCTGCCACTATAAACTGTGTGATTTTAGGGAATCCATTTGTCTTAACTGTCAGTTTCACCAGCAGTAATATATATATATATATATATATATATATATATATATATATATATATAAACAATGCCAACCTCAAAACACTGTTATGAAGATTAAATAATATATAAAGCACGTGATGTGTTTAGCACAGGATCTAACAGAATAATTATGCAGCCACGGGTAGGTACAACAGCCCTTCATTCATTAGTGCAATAACAGTTTCTGAATAGCTGTAGAGTGTCAGTCAAATGCCTGGACTGAAAAATTACAATATGGCCTCATCCCTACCCTCTAGAAGCTCATAGGTAACAGCTACAGAGGAAGGAGATAAGTATTGTAATATTGAGGAATGCACATAGGATCCAGGGGTTAGGAGAGACATGGCATTAGGTTTCTTGGGTGTCTGTGTTATATCAGGAACATAATCACCAGGCACTCGAATGCTTGTCTTTACCTCTTCTTTTCCCCAGGAAACAGAAGTGTAGTTCAATAAGAAATATATTTAAAGCCAGGCTTGGTGGCACATGCCTGTAAACCCAGTGGCTCGGGAGACTGAGGCAGGAGGATTGTGAGTTCAAAGCTAACCTCAGCAACGGCAAGGCGCTGAGCAACACAGTGAGACCCTGTCTCTAAATAAAATACAAATCGGGATGTGGCTCAGTGGTTGAGTTCCTCCGAGTTCAATCCCCAGTAACTTCCTCACTCCCAAATGTATGTGTATATATATGTGTGTGTATATGTATATATATGTGTATATATATATATATGTGTGTGTGTGTGTGTGTGTATATATATATATGTATATATATATATATATATATATTTTTTTTTTTAATTTGTTCCAGGAACAGATCTCCTAAAACCTTCAGAATTCATCAAGTCATAGGAGTGTCTTTTCATTAATCATAATGAGCCCCTTTTGATCAAACCTGAGTTTAGGCTAATGGGTGACTTAAGGTGGGTCCCTATATAGTAGCCTCAAGATGAGGCTGGCCACATGTAAGGCCAAGTGATCAGAGGGAGGGCACTTTCAGCCCACCACTGACCTCCAGGAAGAGGGGGATGCCTGGAGATTAAGGTCTCTAAAAGGGGGGTTGGGGCCCTGGGTTTGGTCCCCAGCATCGCAACAAACAGAACATAAACGATCTCTAAAAAAGTCTTGCAGAGCCAAATTTCCTGAGTTCCAGTTGGTGAGCACGTGGAGGTGCTGGGAGGGTTGTGTGCACAGAGCAGGGGTGGGGCTGCACTCCCACACCCTCCTCCTCCCCATACCCCACCACAACATCTCCCATCTGGCTGTTCCTGGTTTGCTTTCTTTATGATAAGCCAGTATCATATAAGACCAGAGTTGCCCTGAGTCCTGTGAGTCATTCTATCAAATTATCAAACTAGAGAAGGGGGACTGTAGGAACCCATGATTTATAGCAGGTAAATGAGGGGTACTGGAGGCCTGGACTTGCGATTGGCATCTGAAGTGGGGGCTGTCTTGTGCACTGAGCTTTTCCCTTGAGCATCATCGGATGCTGACTCCAGGTAGACAGTGTCAGAATTAAATTGAATCATTGGATACTCAGTTGGTGTTCAGAGAGTTTGAGAATTGCTTGGTGTGGAAAAAAAACCCCACACATTTAGTGTCAGAACTGGTATGTATAGGAAAAAAAAAGTGTTTTTCCAAGAAGAAGAAACCAGTTTCTTCGGACACCACAGGTAAGGACGACCGGGTCAACGACACAAGCAGGTGTCTGTGAGCTTGCTGCTGTGCGGCTCCATCCCCTAATTCTCTGTCTGCTGAGACTCAGCCTTAGGATGGCTGGCTGGCCCAAGTCGAGATCTTAGTTGATAAATTCCATTTCTGTTTGAAGAGGGGCTATTGCTTTCAGGGACAACCTAGATGAACTGAGCCACCCAGTTCAGGAGGAATGTTGGGGACAAGTTACACCCCACAGCCTAACGCCTTGAAGGTCAGATCTAGAGAGGGGCCACTTCTGGAATCTCAATGGAAGAGCACGTTGAGCAAGGAGCCTCATGCTTCACTCTATTTGCAAATATTAGGAGCATAAAACAGAGCTGTGATTTCCCCCTTTGATATCTGTACTGAGGAGGAGTTCTGCCTAGAGTCAAGGACAGAGGGAGAAAGAGGGAGAATGCTTCTTTAGACAGGGTCTCCTTGAACATGCACCATGTGTGTTTTGTAGCTGATGTGCACGGAGGTTTATTTTCTTAGGATAATTTTATTTATATTAGGAACTTGAAGCATCTAATTTACACACATTGAAGGGCCACATTCAGCTTGGTGGGATAGGAGGCCTTAATTGCTGAGGGATTGTATAACAAGGGCAGGAAGAGGCAATGCTTGCACCTATTAAAGGAGGAGTCACATATGTGGACAGGTGTTTGTAGGGATTCTTTGTATATATGAAAGATAATCCTGGATCCATTAGAAATGCTTTTCCCACTCAAGCCCTCTGTTCCCAAAGCAAAGGGGTGATGAGTTAACATCCATAAGGGTCAAAGGATTATTCTTCTTAATATATAAAGAACTCTTATCAATCATTAAGAAATATAAGCCAATAGAAAAACAGACAAAGAGTACAAACAGATAATTTCAAAGAAGAAAAAAAAAGAAGACTGTCAATAAATATTTGAAAAATCACATACATTCTTTAATAACCAAGGAAATAAAAATTTAAATGATAATAAACTAGATATCATTTTTAAAACCAAATTAGTAAAAATTTAAAAAAATGACAAAATCTCGGATTAAATGGGATTGTGAGGCAATAGGAATAATCATATATTACAAAAAAAGTGTAAGTCAGTAGAGTCTCTATGGAGGGTAATTTGAAAGTCCAATTTGAAGTGCAATTCTAAATGAGCATGCTTTCACTCAGAAATTCCAATTTCAGGTTTTTGTTCTGGATAATATTTATCCATGTACACAAATATGTGCAAGGATGTTCATTCCATAATTGTTTGCAGTTGTGAAAAAGTTACCAAACTATCAAGTGGAAATTGATTAATTAGATGTATAATAATTTGATGTATTTAGACCGTGGAGATAGATTTAATTGTTTAGGATCATGAGACAGAGATATGCATGTACAGATATGGGAAGAGCTGCAAAGTCTATTTAAAATGAAAAAAAGATATTGCACATTTCACATAGTATAGATGTAACATATAACTTCATTTATTATTTTAAAAACCATATACTATATTCATATGTGCAAGACATACGCATACACACAGATATATACATATATGTGCATTTTTAAAAGTTTGTAAAGAGAAAACCTAAACTGTTGTTTACATATATATATTTTACACACACACATATATATTTTAATATTTTCTTAGTTGTAAATGGACTTTTATTTATTTATATGTGGCGCTGAGACTTGAATCCAGTGCTTCACACATGCTAGGCAAGTGCTGTACCACTGAGCCACAGCCTCAGCTCAATTGTTATATTGTTATGTGGTTATCGCTGAGGAGGAGAATAAAATTGAGGGTTTGAGGTGGAGGACAAATAGAAATTCTTTTAAAAAAAATTTTTTTTTTAGTTGTAGATGGACACAATGCCTTTATTTATTTATCTTTATGTGGTGCTGAGGATCGAACTCTGTACCTCACATGTGCTAGGCAAGTGCTCTACCACGAGTCACAACCCCAGCCCCAGGAAATTCTTTTTTAGTCTTTAAATTTTTTAGGGTTTAAACATTTAATTCTGAGAATGTGTTCCTGGATTATTTTCGAAGAAAAAGTCAGAGGTGTCAGAACCCATCTCATTCCAGAAACTGCAAAGGGGTGTTTGAGACCTGCTGAGCCAGACCACTGGGAGCCCAATGGGTCGGACTCAGTTTCAACTCATCATGTAGGCAGGGGACAGCTGTGGAGGGGCCTGAGGAGACAAGAAAGGGGACCAAACCTACATTTCTGATGGCTTCCCCGGCAGGGAACGTGAAAGGTATGCACTTTGCATTTACTAAATGGATAGAGGAGTGAATGACTGGGCTCTTATGAAGAAGTCTGGGTGTAAAATCACAAGTGGCACCTCTGAGGTGATGATTTTTTTTTCTCTTTTTCCAAATCAATTCAGAGAATGTCATTCAGCTTGAAAAATGAAGAATCTGGATTGAATACAAGATATAAGGCACAGTCAGCTGCTTAGTGTGATTGTTCTCAATAGCTGGGCCTTGACTCCTTGCTGGTCTGTCACAGGCAATTTGTTGGTAGTAATTAAGTAGCAGTGTTTGCAAATGATTGACACAATAGAAGAGAGCAGCCTCAATATTCTATCTATCAAAGTCTCCCTGCTTCCCAAGTACTCATGGCGTTCTGATGGACGTGCTTTCTTTGGGGTTGGGAGAGGAATGGGTGCCAGGCAGGGTACTGGGAAATCTAGCTGAGTCTGGGGCATCAGAGAAGGGGTCCTATCTGATATTGGAGTGGGAAAACATTACAAAAACCTCTGTTCCAAGGAAAGGAAAATTGCCCCCCTTAAACTCAAAGTATTGTAGAATGGAGTAGGTTATGATAGAGGTTTTTTCTCCATTCATCCTATCCCCAGGCAAAATCCTTGAAACTAACCATTGACCCTTGTATTACCAGGGTTCTCCAGAGGAAGAGAATCAACAGGAAGTACAATTATAAAAAGGAGACTTATTAAGTTGGCTCACGTGACCAGAAGCTGGATATCCACAATGGCTGTCTGCAGGCTGGAGAGCTGGAAGAACCAGTAGCTGCAGAGTCCAAGAGGCTCAAGCCCCAGAACAAGAGGGATCAACTGTGCTACCCTAGTCTGAGACTGAAGGCTTCTGGGGAATTACTGGCAGAGTCTGCTTTGGAAGAGTGAAGAAACGAGAGTCGGATATCCTCAGATGATGGCAGCAGTAATCAAGAACCCCATCCAAGAAGAATTGAGCTTGTATCTGCTGCTGCTTCCTTATTCTTCCAACTTTATTCCATCCAAGCCATGATCCTTTTTTTAAAATTGATTTTTTAAAAAATACATGATAGCGGAATGCATTACAATTTTTATTACACATATACAGCACAATTTTTCATATCTCTGGTTGTATATAAAATATGTTGACACCAATTTGTGTCTCCATACATGTACTTTGGATAATGAAGTCTATCACATTCCACCATCATTGCTAACCCCCTGCCCCCTCCCTTTCCCTCCCACCCCTCTGCCCTATCTAGAGTTCGTCTATTCCTCCTATGCTTCCCCTCCCTACCCCATTATGAATCAGCCTCCTTATATCAGAGAAAACATTCGGCATTTGTTTTTTGGGGATTGGCTAACTTCACTTAGCATTATATTCTCCAATGCCATCCATTTACCTGCAAATGCCATGATTTTATTCTCTTTTACAATTCCATTGTGTATACATGCCACATTTTTTTTTTATCCATTCATCCACTGAAGGGCATCTAGGTTGGCTCCACAGCTTAGCTATTGTGAATTGTGCTGTTATAAACATTGATGGAGCTGTGTCCCTGTAGTATGCTGCTTTTAAGTCTTTTGGGTATAGATCGAGGAGAGGGATAGCTGGGTCAAATGGTGGTTCCATTCCCAGATTTCCAAGGAATCTCCATACTGCTTACCATATTGGCTGCACCAATTTGCAGTCCCACTAGCAATGTATAAATGTACCTTTTCCCCATATCCTTGCCAACACTTATTGTTGTTTGCAAGCCATGATCCTATTGGACAGTGCTGCCCACACTTAGGGAGGGTTTCTATTTCAGTTGGCTATCCCACATGCGAATCATTCCTAGACACACCCTCATTAATACACCCATAAGCCTCTTAATCCTTGGCATCTCTTAACCCAATCAAGTTGACAATTCAAATTAACCATTACAACACTGATGCTCTGGTCACTACTAAGCTGTTCAATTTGACAGTGTTGTGCTGGTAAAACCAGCTCTCTAGTGGGGAAAAGCCCTCATTTTTAGTGTTTGCCAGTTTCTATGGTATAAATGTAAGCTGGTTTCAAACTGCTAAAAGTTTAACATCAACTTGCAAAATTCTTGAATACTTTACAAGAAGTTGTGTTCCAATAAAACTTTATTTGTAAGAATAGTCAGGAGGGTGATCTCTTTGTCGAGAAAAGCCTTGGTCCTGGGGAAAGGGTTTGAGAATTGAGATTAGATCCTCTGAGCTTAATACCAACTGCTGGACCATAGTCAAGTTAATTAATCTTTCTGAGGTTGTTCAGCCATAAAATTCAGGAGGATAACCCTAACTGACAGGGAGAGTTGGGAAAATTGGATGAGTACATATCAAGTGCTTATCCCAGAGCCTGGCATATGGAGTAACTGCAGCTTTCATCATTACTGTCATTATTCTACTCTATATTCAAGTAATCTACGAGTCTAAGAATTTTTAATTTGGGTTTCTCTGAGACATAGGCTGACAGCTCCCAGGTGACATTTCCTCTGAGAAACAATAAACAATTTGAGTAAGTCCTTATCTGGACTTATGCCAGGTGGAGAGATAAAGAGATGCTCTGGGGACAGCATTCTGATTGGGCTGGTTGGGACTCTACTCCCCACCTTCTGGCACATTTCTCCGGGCAGCTGCACTCGGGGTAGCCTGTGCCTCTTTTCCCTCAAAGGCCCCATCCCTACCCTGAGCTCAGGGAGGCTCACACAGGACACTCCATGTGTTACCTGGTCCCTCACTCCTGTCTTTGGCGTTCCTTCCCCAGGCCTCCATCAGAGGACCTCTCATCTGGCCTTTTGGTTTACAGGACCACAGATCTTGCAGGGCAGGTGCAGGACTGTTTCCTCCAAGATGCAGCTTTATTTCCTGTGACTGCTGACTGGTTGTTCTGTTCCTCTTTCACCAGAGGGGAGTCCCTTGCATATCCTCTAGCTGGCATATGACTCAGAATACTCCTCTTAGCCTGGGAGGTTAACATGACAGGTGGAATGAATGAGTGATCTCTGAGTAGCTTCTCTCAGCACTCACTCACTTGTTATTTCATTCATTCTACATTAACTGGGCATCTGCCCTGTGCTAGGCATCATACTTGGTGCTCAGATTTCACATAAGACATGGTGCTTGGGGGCTGGGGATGTGGCTCAAGCGATAGCACGCTCGCCTGGCATGTGTGCGGCCCGGGTTCGATCTTCAGCACCACATACAAACAAAGATGTTGTGTCCGCCGAAAACTAAAAAGTAAATATTAAAAAAAAAAGACAAGGTGCTTGCCTTCAGGGATTTACTAGTCCAGCAGGTGATAGGGAAGCAGTTCATGGTACAAGCATGCACATGGGGAGGGGCAGGTGGTTCAGATGAGGAAGTCAGAAGGGCTTCTGGCAGGACGTGGTACTTAAAATTAGCTTTAATAAGCAGGAGAGAGGCAGGAATTGGGGAAGGATGCTCCAAGTGGAGGGGAAAGCATACAGCTTGAAATACCATGATTTGTTTGAGGCTTTGCAGGAGTGTGTGTAACTGGACCACAGGGTATGGGGAAGCATTTGGGGGTCCTGGGTAGGGGAGGTAGATGGGGTCAGATAATGCAAGGCCTCATGGACCAGACTAAGTGGCTTGAATCTCATTTTTATTCCTAGGTGCAATGGGGGACCTCGGAAGGTGTGAGCAAGGAGTAACAAGTGGGGTGTGTCAGGGATGTGAGGGGCTGACGGCAGTGACACTGTCCTGGGGCTGCCAGGGAACCTCCCAGGGACTTCCTCAACAGATCAGCTCTGTCGCCACTGCTGTCGGAAACCCAGAGTGTGAAGCACTGTTAATTTTTCTCTCTTTGCATTTTTTTTTTTTTGGACAAAAGCGTAAGAAAATGTCATTTACACTCTGAAGAGTGTTTTGCCCAGGGCAGAATTGGACGGCTGGCCCAGCCTGCCACACTGTGACAGTTGCTGTACAGAATGAGGTGCTTGGTGTGAATAGGCAATTAACAGTCCCAGCTGTCTCAGGGAGAACGCCACCTCCCGGGCCCATTCTTGCTCCGCTGCCGTCTTGCTTAGCCTCGGTTTACCACTGCCTGCTTTTTGAAGGTGCCAGGAATCCAGTTGTCCCCTTTTGCACTCCTAACCTCCCTGGAAGCAGATGTAGGGTGGTATGAAGCCTTGTGTCCTCCATACCATGCTTAGAGTTGCAGGTACTTAGTGGATACTTTATGAAGGTGGACTTTAAATCTGATTTTTAAAAATCTTGATTTATTTGATAGATGAGGAACTTAGGGGAGAGGGAGAGGGAAAGAGAGGGAGAGGAAGGGAGGCAGGGAGAGAGGGAGAAGGAGCTAGGTGACATATGTTGCTCATTTCGCCCTCACGGCAGGGTGCTATCATGATTTTCACAGATAAGAAAAATGAGGCCCAGAGAGGCCAAAGCATTCACCCACATTTGTGAAACAGATCATTGCCCAATATGGATCTAAAATCAGGCCTCTTTCCCACAGACCCCCAGGCCACTGGTGAGTCTTTTAGTCTTAGGGGTCCAGTTGTTACTTGGCTTCTGATGCTTTAGCATGGGCTGTAGCTGTTGTTCTGGGGAGGCTGCCATGTCCCCGCTGCCCCAGGCACAGTGGGAAAGCCTTGGCCAAGGGAGTGCATGGAGCCTAGCACCATGGGTGAGTGACACTTGTGAATCCAGCGACTCTCAGGTGTCTGGAGCAACCGAAGGGCTGGTCGCTGCAGCTGTGGTCTTTAACAGAGTCCAGACACTGTCAGCCCTCCTACCAAGGGATAGCACTTCCAGAGTAAGTCCCTCCACCTCGCCATCCTCCCCTCCTCCCTCCTCTATGGTCTCCTGTTTTTGGTGGGACCAAACAAATGCGAGAGAGGGAGCCAGAGAGGCTATGGGTTCACAAGGTCAGTCTCTTGGGGCACAGAGCAGAGTGAAGAAGGGTCTAGAAGGGCAAAAGGAGACAGGAGTACCCTGGGGAAGTGAGGAACTTCGGTCCTGGGACTTGTGGATGGACTGATCCAGGACTCAGGTGTCTGCCGAGTGCTTGCTCCTACAGAGACATTCCTGATCATGGGTGCCTCTGTTGGTGGGAGGTGAGCCTAGTCTCCCTGTCCCAGGCATTGCACAGGGTGAAGGCGAGGTCCAGGCTGATGGAGTGAGACTCTCACCTCCTGCCTAGCAGGCTCAGCTTCCTCCCAGGGCAGCACTAGCCAGTAAGAGCAGGCAAAGCTTCTCAAGAGCAGGGTGGGCCCGAGCTGGGCTGATGTCTCAGGAGACAGAGTGGCCGATGTGTCTTCAGGTAGGGTGTGCTGGCGTCCCTCCATGTGTCTCCATCCAGACTGTACCATAGGCAGTGCCATAGGCTCATCCAACTATTTCCATTTTCCCTTGGATTCCAGGAAAACTACTATTTCCTAAGGTTTTTTTTTTTTTATTTAATTTTAGTTTTTTTGCCATTAGTATGGGGTCATGTGACTGGATTCTGTCAGCTAAGATGTGGCTAGAAATGACACATGGTGTTTTCAGGCTTGGCCATAAAAACCTCTTGAGTCATTGTTCAGGAACTCTCTGGTTTTTCCATATAAGTAGCTAGAAGCAAGAACTCTCTTCAAAATTGATAGTAGTGGTTGTGTGTTTAACATGTCAGTCTCCTCAGTAAAAGAAACCTGGATCCCTGAGTCACCCACTGCTTGGAGGAGAGCTTCCAAGGGAAGTTGACTTTGAACTGTAATGTGAAGCTATGGACTGAGATTTTGGTGTTGATGATGACAGCAGCTAGTTTTAATTAACTTCACTAATTAATACATCC